AATTTTGGTTTTTGGACTGGTTATTTGGGCTTTGATGTTGGGTTTTTTTAGTTTGAATTGCCTTGGTAATGTTAGGAAATCCAAGGTTGGGGCTTGACCCTTCTGTATTTTTTTTCTTGTTGTACTTTGTTTTGGTTGATTGAATAATTTCCATCGTTTATGAAAAAAAGAAAATATATAAAAAAAAATAAATAAATAACCAAAACAGAAAAGCAAATTTTAAAACATATGTATCTCGAAGTATTTAGTTCAATCACTATTTTACACTCTCGATAGTTATATACGTAAATTTACATGAAAAAACGCGCAACGGTGAGGATTGCGTCACCCTAGAGGCCAAGCTTACCTATACGATTTAATAATAGAAACTATCCTTTCTTTACATTAAAGTAAATCAGGATTTTCTCAATTATGATAATCCAACCCAACTATTATAAAAGCCTTCTTTTCCATGGACCATGTTATGTTTATAGTTCCTCTCGCCCGGCGATTCTCCCAAAAGTTTTCACACCTGAATTTTTACGCAGCATTCAATTAAGGCAAAAACTATCAACAGCTTCCTTTATCCTCATAACTTGAGACACAAGTTAAAAAAAGCACGAGCAACATACCATCATTTGAGGTACTTTAAGCAGTGCAAATGCCAGAACATATAAAATGCTCCCAATCACCACACCTGCGGCTAGATTTTGCCCGAGACGCTTATTGTCCTTGATCGGAACAAATGCCGTTTTCAATGTATTCGTGAGTTCGAAAAGCCTGTACGACACCTGCAAAAGGGTACAGAATTAGAGAGGGCACACGTATCATGAGCACGATCCTTGTTCACATTGGGCTATGAATATAGGCTGTGAATAGAAATGAGTGGAAAGTAATGTACCGCAATGTATATGGAAGTAGTGAGCATGAAGTTTAACAAGGGGTATTCTGGGATTATTGAAAGTAACAACTTTGGCTGACCGTCTGGCACGCCTGACCTGCATTTGAATCAATTGCAGTCGAGCCTCGTCAAAACATAACTGAAATCTGTATGTTTATGGTAATTGAAAAGCAGCTGAACAAATTATGTTTGCTAGTAATTAGGCCGTCATAACACTGAGAATCATTCTTGAAAGGTGTGCAATATATTGGATCTCGAATTATCTTTATGAATTCGCCAAAATTTGTCTCAGACATGAGCCAGTAGTCGGGATCTACTCATCATCAAATATTATGCTATAAGCTACACGATGGGCGGAAAATGATTCCTAGAATAAATCTACTCACATATTACATGATTTATGTATAACACTTAATACAGTACCTTAACCATATATGGATCTGAGAGATGTATGTCTCCAAAGTAACTTTCCCGAGCCATCTATTCATCAAGAAAAATAAATGTCTGATTAAATATTCCCAGAAACAGAAATGTTTATGTTCTTCAACGGAAAAAAAAAGGAAAACAAAAGTAATCAAATAGATGATGGACTCTGGACTTACGCAAAAAGAGTCAACGTGTAGCAGCGGAAATGCTGAGTCACATTTCGCAGACATATGTATACTCTGACAAGCACACAAGCCAAAAAACATATACAAAATTACATGAGAAGTTGAACCATATAATGTGCACAAACAAACAAAAAGCAAAAAGAAAAAAACAAATGAGCCGTAAACATAAGCATACGTGATTGGGATCCATGATGTATAAGGATGATATTTGTTATATGTAATTTTCGGAAGCTTGTACACATACTCCACCCATAGATATCCAATCTGCAGTAGCGAAAAAAGATTGACTTAGACGTGAACTTGGTAAGTTCAATCATGAACTGAGAATGGCACACATACTGCCAAGGCAGCAGTTGCGACAGCAGACTTGATAATTATCTTGTGCTTTATTTCAGCTTCCTCCAACTTTTCCATCCATCTTTCCACCTGAAAATAAATAAATCCAAATAAGTTTAAAAAAAGAAAAAGAACTATGGGTTTAAATTAGCAAGCTATCAATAGAAGTGAAAAATTGCATTGAGCGTGCAAAAAAAATTACTGTTGGATGGTAATATGCATATATCATCCCAATTATCCAAATATATCGGTCAAGGCCTGAACGGAAATGCCATTCATGCAAAACGGGAAGTTGGACTTTTGAAGCTGGATCTCTGTATCCTGCAACACATATTCACCGACAGCGTACAAGTGAGACATAAATGTAAATTCACAAGGCACAAATATAGGTTAATTCAGTTAGTAAATTGTACTAAAGCCCCTACTTTATGAAGCTCTCTCTCCCAGACTTTGCCCACCAAAGTTTTATTTGTTGCACAATATCGCTTAAACTATGCATAATTCTCGATTTGCCTCCTGAACCATCCCACATTCTTTCATTTGCAGGTATAATGAAAAATAGTTTTTAATTCGTCAATGACAAGGTGCATAAAAGCCAACTCAAGGGCTAAAATAAAGCCAAAAAATAGTGTACATATACGAAAAAGCTTCACAGTTCAGGAGCTTAATGTAGTATAGTTGAACTTGAGCTACTTACTAACCTAGCAAGAAAGAGAAGGGACTCCAGACGAGCTCAAAAACCCCAGGCACTTCCCACAGAAGAATGACCACCAAGAAGCAAGCAACTATTTTTGCAGCTATAACAGTCCCATGCTCATTATACTTGTTGAAAATACCAAGGGCCCCATATACCATGAGAGTAAAAAGTGTGTGCATGGGACATATGTAGTACAACATGTAATTGTTATTAAGCACGACACAGCAGAAAAACACCAGGAAATTCAACCGCCACATCATCTACAAAAAATAAAAAAAAATAAAAAAAAAAAATTATATCAGGATAAGGACAGGACACCACAGGATATTGCTAAAATGAAAATGAGAGGAGTTTCTGTGAGACAGTATCTGAATTCTCCAATTCAATAGAGTGAGCAACTCGATTTGTGAAAACGGTTTATTATTGCTCATAAAAGAAAATCAAAGGTCAAGTTGGGAAGAAAAAAAGAAGTTACCTGAATAAACCTGGCGAGGCTAAAATCCTTGCGGATGTAATAATATGAAAAATTCCCAAATCCTGTCATCCACACATATGCGGCGATGAAGACTCTTATGGCATTGTAGATTTCTGTTGCGGCAAAGTAGTGGTACATGAGAAACAAAACCTGTAATGCAGGAAAAATAATAGCCAAGATTGTTCATTCCAGCTTGAATAAGTTGTAGAAGTACTAGGTAAATGCAGGATAAAAGTTACCTGCATCCAGCCTTTCCACTCCTCAGTTTGATGCCTGTTTAGATACATAATTGACTTCCCAGAGAACGGTGACTTGTCATTGTGTATCTTGAACGAGGATATTGCTGATATGATGATGAGAAGGAAGTAGAGGAACAAGAAAAGATCCCGATTATAACTCTGTCAGCAAAAATGTTAAAACTTATAAGAACACGTCTCAAGGCAGAGCATATTGCATTAGAACATTATGAACAGTACTAGTGCGGATGTGGATAAATCAAGTTTCAAGCTCTCCACCTTTTCTATGCTACAAAACTTATCAGAAATTGCATATCACAACATGTTCTTAAGACACGTCGATGGGAATGAAATATTTGATGGCCACAGCTATCTGTTTTATCCTTCATGTGGAGAGATTAAGATCATCCTATCACATATTCATAATTCATTACTGTGGAAGGTCCTATCCTATAACTGTGTTAAGATATGCATAAACCAAACTAAGAGAGGGACCAGTGAATCCAACCTTTTTTGATTCTCCGAGAAGGTTTGTACGGTCACATAGGTAAAAGTAGATTAAAAGGGCACCAAACTCTGATCTGCAAGAGAGAAACCAGAATTGTAAATTAACCAAGAGAATACACAAGGTCATAAAAGTAAGAACAAAAATAGCTTGAGAATTTGCAACTTCATACATACATGGCTCTCAAAGTCAATCGATTTTCGAGCAAGAATGACTCATCCAATATAAGCAACCTGATAAAACACTAGAACAATGATTTCAGACTCGTTTACACAACATTCACATCCGAGTAAGTTTAATATCATTTTTCACAAACCTGATAACATGGGACATCACGGACGAACTCCGCACTTTAGGGGGTACAGACTGAAGCCCACCTCCTTCCAGTAGAACCGCTTTATCATCTTCTTGGACTACTTCTCCCAACTCAACCAAATTAATATCAGAGTTCCTGCCTCTGAAATGCAAGATATTTTAAAGGTACAACTCAATACTCATGGTCAGAAAATAAAAGGTACACATGATCTTCGGAGGCACACAGTCATTCAACTATTCTCGTCCTGTTTATATAATAATTCTGAACTCACGTTAACAACAGAATTAATCATGAATATACTGAAAGAAATAGCTACTTGTCGTCTCCTATTCTAAAAAATATCACATTTCTCTAAAATTAAAGGCAATGATACCAATTATTTCGTATCTTCACAAGGCGGCCCCTTTTTTTATCAAGGGAAAGTGCTAGCTTAGCAGCAAGATTAGCAAACAAACCCATATACTATACCCATATAATATTCCAAGTGCCTTCATCATATACTTTAGAAAATTGTTTTGAAACCAAGGAAAGCGTGCTTCCACTTACAGCTTATGAGACGAGCAATTTTTTCGGTGCTCCACATATTCCGCAAAAAGCCAAGCAGCAAATACTGGTATAACTCCAAGGAAAAAGGACACCTGCATTTACAAACTTTAGAAGAACAAACCAAGATCATACTTACTAGCTCATATTGAAGGTCTCAGGTGGGCTCATAAGCTGCAGAATAGCACAAAAGTCGATGTACAAAATAAACACAAACAAATTCACTGCAAGCGTTCTCACATTTACTTGAAAAAGTGTAGCAAAATCAACTGCATTTCACATATTAATAAAAGAAAATAAAACTTGGAAAAGATGCCCCTCGAATTACACGCTCAACACTCGCCGTCACTATCATTACAGCCTAAGGCCGAAATATCAAACGCATTGAAGTACCTAAGCGCAAGAACAAGCGATCGATTGACAAACCTGGCCAGGCGTTAACGGTCCATAGATCACCATTTTCCTCAACAATAACTTCAAATTGGATCAGAGAGCATATACGCGTATGTACACAGGCGGGAATTTGTAGTGAGAAAGCAAAAGTGAAGGTATAAAAAAATATATTTAAAAAAAAAAAAAAGAAAGAAAGAAAAACTCAGATCTGAAGTGAAAATGGACTAATGGAGTATGGATATCTGACGGTGGATACGGGCAGCGGTATTCTAGTAGCTAACTAGGTAGATTCCGAATTTTTTTGTATTTATTTTTTAGTAATTAAACAAAAAAATAATTCATTTCAGGTAGTTGGCAGTTTTAATGAGGGGATTTTTTTTTTTTTTTNNTTTTTTTTTTTTTTTTTTGTAACATCAGAAATACTCATAGATAGAATAAAAAACGTAATACAATTCGAAGGACTAACTAGTCGGAATACAAAATAAGAACATTGAGGAACACCTAGCACCGGTACCCTAGAACTAACTGCAAACCAAACAAGGAAGTTATAGGCGAGCACAAACACTCGATTCCTACAACCTCAAATACATAAATAATCCAACAAACAGAACCAAATAAACAAGGAGCCAAAGATTAAAACTGAACAAAAGCACCTAATCAACTGAGGACTCCTTGCATCACCCTACAACGATCTGCGGTTCTTGAATTTAATCCACTCCCGCCAAGCATTTTTCACTATCAGCTTGTAGGGTAACCATTCTTGTCTGAACACCCACAAGTTACGGGCCTTCCACAACCACCATAGATTACAGGTGGAAAGTTGTATACGTGCTTCCGACGTCTCAGTCTCGTTGAGTTCAGGGACTTGCCACCACCAGTCACTAAAGTTGTCAGACTTTTTATTACAGAAATCCCAAATCCAATGCATATATTTTTCTAATCCTGGAGGCTCTGTTGCAATGAAAAAGAGCATGAAGAATGCTCTCTTCCTCTTCCCCACACCTTCTATAAATACCATCAGTCTTCAATCCACTTGTACGTGGTGGAGACCGAACGAATGGTGTTGATGCCATTTGTACGGGTTAGATGTGCCTTGACCGGATGAACAAATAAGACCGAACACGGTGTTGAACGGGCGCAAGATCAAGTGGGGTACTTGATCTCATCATTACCAGGATCAGCCGTACAAGAAGCATTAAATGCGAAAATCTTTGGAAGATGTTCATCTAAATAGCGTGTTTAGGCGGGACACGTGTTACGATCCGGATGGGCCACAAATATTGAGATTAGATTGCTAAGTACATTAGCATTAAATATAGAATGACTAATATCCAATAATGTCTGGTAAAAGAAATAGAAAAATCCCAAGAAGAGGGAAATGTACAAGGTCCCTAAACCTCCTATAAAAGGGGGGAGATGACAACATTTAATGCAATGTATAAGTCACGAATAGTTAAAGCATTCGGACCTAAAGTTTACACCGAATCACACACATATCCCTATTCGTGCAGACCGAACCGAGTACATATCACAGTGTACAGTTCGAACACATTGTTGGTCATATTTTAGACATCAACAATTGGCGCTAGAGGAAGGGCTACTCCAGCATGTCCGAAACAACATCGTCGTCGTCAAGCCAAAGTCGCCGTCGTGACACGCCGGAAGAAAGAGAAGACCGGCGCAACAACCAAACCACAAGGACGGATTACTCAGCCTTTTTCAAAGACCCGAATTTTGTCAAAGGAATATCAAACCTCATAACGCAGATCCGACCCTCAACATCTCAAGCACCCAAAACTTTGGCCAAGAAGGACCTTACCAACACTCTCAAAGACAAGGGGCCGGAAGTTCACGAAGAAACCTCTCGATCGCGTGGCAACACCATCGAAAGTACGAAGGAGAAGTCTACACCTGCACAGAAAACGAATAGACGGATGAAAGTCGCTCGATCACTAATACCCACACGCGCAACACCACCGGTCGGTCTTCAAACGACTGGGAAGGAACGTAGCTGATGACGACCTGAGAAAGACGCTGCTCAGAAAGTGAACGACCCAAGCTGAGGAAGAAGAAATGAAGAGTCTCTGAAGAAGAATAGCCAAACTTGAAGCTCGGCGTTCGGCACAAAAACGAATTGCCTCAACTTGACAGGACCTGACGGAAGTTCCCCTCAAGCGGACTACGACCGCATCTAGGGCGCGGACTGAGTTCAACCCAACCGAATCTGAATCATCCCTAACATTTGATATTTTGCAGGAACAGTTGCCCGAGAAGATAAAGATCCCACAAATCGGATTCTACGATGGGACATACGACCCAGACACTCACCTAGGATTGTACACGTCGTGGATGGACTTACATGGAGCGCCGGATGCCCTACGTTACCGACTGTTCTCCCTAACGTCGGGAGAAAAAGCGCAAAGATGGTACCATTCGCTCACCCCACATTCGGTCTGCAAGTGGTCGCAACTAAAATCAATGTTACGAACACACTTTATCGGATCCCAAGCATGCCGAATTCCCAAAGAATCAATCATCCACATTGTGCAAGGAGTGGAAAACTTGAAGGACTATGTCACCCGCTTCAACGAGAGAGTACAAAACATGGAACCGTGCCATCAGGAGACCCTACTCGTTTCAGAATATTCGGGATTAAGACCTAATTCCATGTTCAAGTGGACCCTCTGCCAAAACAAACCTCAAACGTATCACGAATTCTTGATGAAGGCTCAGCAGCATATCATGGCAGAAGAAAACATGTCCGTTCCGTCATTCGGGGCCATGAAAGAACCACCAGCAAAGACCAAGGAGTCCCGACCAAACAAGAAGTATGTAAAGGACGGAAGGACAGCCCAATTCCGAGCCATGCAGAGAAAACACCACGAAGAGCTAACGAATAGCTATCAAGGAGTGTATTCAGTCGGGGCAGCTGTAGTGTACGAGGAATTGAAGAACAAGGGGATCATTCCGGACCCAAAGCCGATAAGGGTGGACGAGGAGAATCTTGACAAAAGTCGATATTGCGCTTACCACAAATCCCACGACCACAACACCGACCAATGCCGGAATCTAATATATGCTATTTTAAAATTAATTGATGATCCGCAGGTGAGAAGGTTCACCAAGATGGCGGGAGGCAACATGAGGCCAATGAATGACGACCGGATGAATCCAGAAGACGAATTTGACTTTGGATCGAATCTAAGAAGAGCGTACGAACACCTGAAGGAGATCCTGACAATCAGTCAAGAGCAACGAGGCGAGACAAGTGCATCCGGAGGAAGGAAGAGGACCGCATCCACTCGAGACGAGGAGCATTCGGTCCACATTCCCATCAGACGGAACGCACCACAGACGAGGGTCAACACCAGCCGAGAAAGTTCGAACATGTCACGAAGGTAGGTCAAAGCGTACGTTCGTCGCGCGTACAGAACAGAACACCAAGTCAGCCGGGCGGAGGTCCGACAATACGTACCCATGCCCACAAACCTGATAATGTTTTCATATGAGGACTCATTACCGTTCGACAATCCACACTTGGACGCGCTTGTGATCACAACCCCAATCTTTCGTATCCCAGTCCACCGAATCATGGTGGACACTGGAGCTTATTCGAGCATCTTGTACTGGACCGCGTTTCTCTAGATGGGGATAGACCGAAGTGAACTACGCCCATGCAACGACCGCATAACATGATTCAATGGACAGGCGACCATCCCCGAAGGAGAGATCACGCTACCAATCGAACTCGGAGGACCAGGAGCGAACGGGCACAGAATCATTGGAACTTTCAAGGTGGTAAAGACGGCCAGTGAGTACAATGCCATCCTCGGACGAACGACCTTATACAAGCTGAAGGCAGCCGTGTCAATCTTTCACTACTCAATCAAATTCCCAACAGAGAACGGGACGGGAGTCCATTACATCAACCAAAGGAAGGCGAGACAATGCATCATGGCGATTCCATCACTCGAGATCCATTCGGTCATGATGGCAAACAAATATAGGAATCGACAACTGATTCGGACGATGAACCAGAGCAGCCCGCTGGGCAAGACGAACAGGCTCTATCCTGATAGCCGGAAGGTAGACCGACCAGCAAACGGCCGAAAGCAAAAAAGAGACAAAGGGAAGAGTTGCCCGAGAGTCCGAAGGAAGAGTACGAGCGGTTATCAGCGCCGCCAATCACGACCGTGCAGCCATCCCCGAACGATGAATAGGTCGAGAAAGCTGTGGAAAAGTTGGAGATCGATCATTCTGAACCAAACGAAGAGGATAGCCCACCTGAGGAGGAGGATCGTACCATGGACCGGGGCCGACGGCCCGGTAAAGAGCCGATTGAGGAGAAAGATGAATTAGACCCCAGAGATCAATTCAAAGAAAAGAAGTCCGAATGCGCCGAACCCAGCGAAGATACGGAGGTGATTTATCTGGATGAACCCGCCTGCACCAAGCCATTGTGCATCGGACGAAACCTGGGTGAGCCCATCCGGTCCAGGTTAATTGCTTTTTTAATTGAAAATGCAGATGTATTCACCTGGACACACGAAGATATGACGGGGATCGATCCAAGCCTGGCGTGCCATAGTCTCCAGATTGACCGGACAATAAAACCAATCATGCAGAAGAGAAGAAAGTTGGGACCAGACCGACAAGGAGCGCTTGAAGGGGAAGTAATCAAGCTAATCGACAACCGATTCATCCGCGAAGCCAAATACCCGGTTTGGGTGGCTAATCCGGTGTTGGTGAAGAAGAATAATGGGACATGGCGGCTATGCGTGGACTTCAGCGACCTCAACCGGGCCTGCCCGAAGGACAGCTATCCGTTGCCCAACATTGATTACATGGTGGATGCTACGTCCGGTCACGAGCTCATGAGTTTTATGGATGCCTATTCGGGATATCATCAGATCTCCATGGATCCGGACGACGAGGAGCATACTTCTTTCTATTCGGCGAGGGGTCTTTATTGCTACACCATGATGCCGTTCGGTTTGAAGAACGCAGGCGCTACCTATCAAAGGCTCGTCAACAAGATGTTTGCCAACTTGATCGGACGAACCATG